TGTTTACCTACCTCCAAATAGTGTTCACCTACCCCCATGAGACCTCCATGAGAAAACTTATAAATACCCCCCTCCTCCCCAAGTTTGATTTGTAAAGTATCTCGGTAGCAGAGAGAGAAAGAGAAAGATATAGATATAAGTAATATTATTGAGGATCTTGAGAGAAAGTTTGTGAGAATTCTTGGAGAGTATCTTGATCAAGAGGGAGTGTTCTTTTTTATCTCTTTCCTTTGTAAACTCGAAAGGAATATAAAGGAATTAGGCGTCGTCGTTACACCGTGGAGTAGCTCTGTAAGAGTGAACCATGTTATATCTGTGAGTACTGTGATTAAATTCGTGTTTGCTGGTTTTATTCTGTGATTCCAAGATCGTTTGAGTGTGTTTTGCGTCTCCTTTTAAGACGTTCTGGTTGGCATGTACCTAACATTAACTACTTCCCCGCCAGGGAAAAAGCTACATCCAATGGGGTAACAATGGAAGCAACAGTGGAGATGACGGTCTTGATCAGCCAACAAAGAAACCAGAGAACCCAGTGAGAAGAATGAGCGTTCAGGATGCTATTAGTCTCTTTGAAAATAAACAAAAAAGATCAGAATCTAGAGAGCCAAAAAAGAATAGCTTCAGGGGAAGTCTCAGCTAGTATCGCTGCGAAGTCAGTCTTAAGAAGATGGAGTTCAGGTATGGGTGATTCCCTCGCGCATAGTTCGCATGAGAATGCTTCGGATGCTGTTGCTCAGAAGTCAAGAGAAGAGAATAATTCAGAAGTAAAGGACGAGTCTTCAAACACAATTGGAAATCCTGAAGCTGCTCAATCTTCGGACGTGGAGAAGACTATGTATGTTGCCTCCAGATGAACCTGTTACGCCCAAGTTTGAAGAAGTCAATGATCAAGCGACAAGCACTGCTGAACGGAATCGGCAGAAGGAAGCTGAATTGAACGTAAAGCAGGATGTTCCTAATGGGCAAAAAAGGGGGTCACAAAGCATGGTGGTACGAGGAAGGCCTCGTCGAAAACCTCATCCACACCTGCTACATGGAACACTTGGTCAGGAGGATCATTACTGAGAACAAATGGAGCATCAATGCCTAAAAAGTCCTTATGGCATGGTTTCAACAAATAGCAAATCTAGTCGCCAGAAATCCCTACCGACGCCTTCTCCAACTCAACCAGGCCCTTAAGACTGACAGACTCCAGAAGACCACCAAAGTCCAGAAGGGAACTCCACCTGATGTCAAGCCAAGCTTGAAAAGGTCAAGAAGAAAAGAAGCAGAAATTAGTGGCTAAGAGCAGTGAAAGTGTGAAGACCAAAAGCCCAGTAACACCTGGAGAATGTTCTGGTGTTTTATTAGCTAAACCAAGTTTCCACCACAAGGTCACGAAGAAGAGCAGTGTTGTTCCATTAGGGTCAAAAGGACTCAAAGCCCTTTCTGAAAAAAGCCACTGGCACTGGTCCCGGGTGCAGCCCCATGGCAGCCAGACCTAAAACTTCTCAGCCTGATACAGATTCTTCAAAAAACAGTGGAAATCTTATCCAAGCTGGGGGAAAGGAGTCGGGCGATATCACTGCTGAGCCAACCCCTGGTGTTCTTGAGCTCAATGGTATACAACCAGAAGATATATAGAAACACAAATCTAGAAGCCCCTGTAAATGATGGTGTCAGTCATAATACTAAAGATTGGGATCAGGGTATATGCGAGTTGGATAATGGTTTCAAGAATTCAGTAGAACTTCCTATTCCGGAGATCCAAGCAGATGAGGATATGGATATCCAATCAGCTGCATGGGTGGAAACAGAACACAAGGGAGGTTCTGCTTCACATGACAGTTCACTGCCTGATCTCTCAGTCTCCCCTGAACTTGCATCAGCAGCAGCGTTGTCAAACCGGAGAGCGTGGCATTCGTTATCACAATATCTGCAGGTAGATAACAACGAACTGGAGATCATCGAGTGGGGAAAGGCTTTCTATTCCAGACGATCCTGGGTGTATCTGCTGGTTAACTATTTTCATGAAGCAATGTGATTATGGTTCAAGGTGTTGTTAGGAGTGTCTCGCCTCCATTGGGTTTAAGTGTAAGCTTGCCTCAACAAAAATGAATGAGGTGGGATTTCGTCCCATATTAGAAAACGAACTAGATAGACAGATGGTTAATTCTTTCGAGTAAATTGGGCTCAAGTAGATTGGATTTGGATCCTTTCCACTGCCGAAGAAGCAGTGAAGAGACCCCTTCTTTTATCATAGCCAATTGATTTGTCTAGTACGTGCTTGTGATTCATTCCAAATCATGCACTTGCCGCATCCCCTTCTTTCCTAAGTTATACTCAAAGACAAATCACAATCATCAACTTAACAAGTCAATGGCTATGATAGAATTACGTGCGTCTCTCCAATGCATTCCAAGTAGATTAGCCTAGTCCTGTAGGCCATCTCCGTTAATGGGCCTTAAAACCACTAGGAATATTCGTTGTTAGTTCATGCATTTATAATTATGGTATTGTGGCAATTTAATTTTACTATCAGGCCTAAACACAGTACGTATAATCCTTCTCTTTGTTTGCTTCTTAGTAAAGCACAGACTAATTATTTTTCCCACGTATACAAGAAAGTTGGAACATCATCCTTTAAAGTTATTAACTGATGACCAAACAAACAGTACTGTACTATTTCAGTGAATATTTTCACTCTCGAAAAGTACTACATGGAAAAGTACCGCACGGAGGATGTTACGGCTAGGGAATATGCGGCTCCTGGAAACTGTTGGGATTAATTATTAACTTTTGCTTTGCATGAATTGACAAACAAGCAGTTAGCCTACCACAATGATATAAGGTTATTGGTTAAGCGCTGCTACATTCCTAATTTTGCGATTTTATATGTCTCTATTGAAGAAGGGACTGCTTCGTCTTCTGCCATCAAAAGTGGAAATGATGAGTCGTAATTCTTAATTATTTCATGAATGGTTCTTCTCAGCAGCGCAATCAACTGCACGTCCCTCTACAATTTTGGACAGATTGCAAGAAGGCCAGAACTAAGCATCATCAACGACCTCAACAAAAGGTAAACCGACTCTCCCAAGCATTTACATCTTCACTTCTGATTATATATCAAGTAAATTCTGGAACGGTAATCATGATTTCAGCGACTCTGTCATTCTTCTCTCTCTCTCTCTCTCAACATTTAGGAGCAGCAAACAAAGTGAGACAAAGGTGAATCATCGCTGCCTCTCTTCATGATCACGGGCCAAACTGCAATTTGAGATATCTGTTCCGTTGCATTTGAAGGAAGTGTTATTGTTTTCATGGTCCAATACGGGCGTCAGGATTTTTATTAGAGGTTTTTTTTGAAAATATTAACATGATTTTGTTACGAACGGGTGTCAGGAAAAGAGAGGGGTGCGTGCTTGGTGTAATTACCTGACGCAATGGCTGACATTTACTATGTTAACAAAACCTAATCTGATTTGCTTTTCATTGAGGAGCATATATACTATCAGCTTTACTGAACTTTTATGGACCACATTTGAACTGCTTTAAGTACCCGATGGCAAGGAAGGGGTTTCTTGTCAGTAAATTTTGGACAGTGAATGCTATCTACAATACTCAACAGTTCCAAAAGCCAATTATTTCATTTGTCCATTCCAAGTTGGTAAATTTCAAGGGGTTTTTCCATTCCAAAGTTTTCTGAGCGTGCGGCGGTATTATCTTTGGTTGCTGCCGCAAACTTCTGCGGCTCATTCTAGCACTAGGTTGTTTTCTTTTTCCCCTTTTTTTTGTTTGTTTATGGTGTGATATGTACTTTTTTTTGCCTACAGCTTCGGTGCTCCATGAAGATTTGTTAGAGCACCGGTGGCATATCTGTAAATAAATTCCTTAAAAATAGCTCTCACATTTTTAGATGGATAGATTTGACGTTTAGGAAGTATTCCACACCCAAAATTGTAATTAACTATAGATAAAAAGGTTAGTTAAGGAAATATAATTTAGGTTAGTTAGAATTCTCCAGCTAACTAATATTTCACATTATAATTTTTACTATCTTATTTTTATGTACTTGTGACTTTATTGATATCTCGCTAAGATGATGATGAAAATGTGAATAAACAACGTTTTGATTAGTGTCATCCCTCAATTAAACTAACAACCTTCAATTATTCATTGCTACTCAAGGAAATTATTTCAATTAATCATAAAAAAGGAGCAACTGTATGCAATCACACTTATACATTTCCATGTAAAGGGATGAGGTACATCTGCATGCAAGACAAATTTGCATAGAAGAAATTCAAGAACCAAGCAAGTAAACCCACAGGAATACAAAAAGACGAATTAATGGAAAAAAATTAGAAATCAAATTGTCAGGCTTAAAATACCTTTTCTGGATCAACTAAACTTTTGTTTCTGGTGGGGCTCAGTCAAGTATGCCGGAAAAGGCGTAGGAGGCGACGATGTAGGAGAGGTGAGGATCGGTCTAGTTCGAGGAGGAAGGATATGATAGATAGATCTATAGAGCGGCGGAGAGGGTGGAAGGTCGGGAAGAAGGCGTTGATGGAGGAGAAGGTTGGGTGGAGTTGTGGTGGTGGCCCTGGCAGCGAAGAATTGGTGCAGCAAGAGAGAAAACAAAGATAGAGTAAAAACAGAGCATGGTTTTGGAAGAGGATAATTAGGAAAGTAAGTAAATAGGTTGGACAAAAATGCCCTTCCAGCTTTTTAGATAGTTTTTAATTTTTTTTTCAAATTAAAAATGCTAAAATTGCTAATTTGGGAGCACCGAAGCAATGCTCTTTTTTATTAATATTTTCGTGAAACTTCGATAGTTTAGAATCTAAATGTTAGCTTTTTAATATGTTATTACAACAGCTACAGGTTTACCAAGCAGTTTCGTAGTAGTATCGTAGTATGCCAATTGTTAATAGTCACTTGGTTTAATGAACATGCATTGATCACTTATTACTACTGAGACTTCGTTGAATGGTAAAAAAAAAAATAGGACATACAAGTGCTAGTTCAGAACCCCAATAGGTTTGGTTCAAACGAACAAAGAAATAAAAAATAAACCTTTGCAAGTTTATAAATCTCTGTCAGAAGTAAAATACCAGCTAAGAATTCTTCTAATATCCATCAGGGTTTTGGAAGCAAAATTCCCTCGAAACAATCATCAACAAAGAAGCAAGCAACTTCAGGTCATGAAAAATCTAAAAAGTAACCTGAAGAAAGCATCAACTTTCCAGCAAAGAAAAGTTTATTTACGCCCTCGGCATTAAATTGGAAACCCTAGACCTGTAGGAGAAAATAATTGAATCATTTGTCGACAACTTCGATTAGGGTTGTTTCATAATCACTGGGAGCCTCAAAACCATGGAGATTCATGACTGTGGCAGACAACTTCGATTAGGGTTGTTTCATAATCACTGGGAGCCTCAAAACCATGGAGATTCATGACTGTGGCAGCAACATTTGCAAGGCCACCGCTTGGGACATCCTTACGGAATCTAACAAAATTTCCAAGCCCGGGCCCTCCAATGGCAATTGGAACCTGCAAAAAATAGATTGTGATAAGGAAAAAAATTCAAAAGAAATGGCCTTAGGTCAGGAAAAAATTAGTACAAGTACATAATCTCCTGTATTTGGATTCCGGTACATAAATAGCTCGACTTCAAATGGAAACATAAAGTGTGATAATACACACACATATAATGAAGGATAGCTCGACTTCAAATGGAAACATAAAGTGTGATAATACACACACATATAATGAAGGATTAATTGCAGATGTACTTCATGAACTATGGTGGTCGAGCTACTTATACCTCAGGAACTATTTTATTAGCACTTAGACTCGTTGAAGATTTCTTTACCCTCAATTTAAAAGAATTTATTTTATTTTATTTTCCTACCTAAATTTACATAGTATATTGACCAAATGGGAGAAAAACTGTGGTCAGGCATTCATGAGGTGCAATGCTAATAAAATAGTTTAAGGAATATAAATGGTTATACCCAGGTCGTATTCGGATGTATATGCAATTAACCCTATAAATTGAACCAAACTTATATCTTTGCAATCAAATGAAACCCATTTTGACTAAAAAGTACATATAAAGATTTTTAAAAAAAAATTATGAGCAAGAAAGCATTTACCCTAGTTCCCAACTATAGCAATATAATACTTTTCCAGACTTGAACATGGAAAGAAATTAGAGCACTGGGATCGTCAAGTTCTGGTGGTAGTGATGAATAGGGAAACTGAGAAAATGCTCATATGCTTACTGGTTCAAGTGTGTGTGAAGTGAGAATCTGAATCTGCCCATTTTTATCAAGAAGAGGTTGGCCAGCTTTGTTCCTCTTTACCATGTCTTCTGCATTCCCATGATCTGCAGTTACCACATAGATCCCTCCCACTTTCTCTATTGCATCCAAAATCATCTGTAAAATGAATAACTCAAATTGTCAAGATGAGAAATGGCAACCAAGTCAATATAGCAATGGATTACTTCAGTAGAGGATATATGTATGGTCTTGATATTGGAGTTATTAGAGATAATTTTACACGAGTAAAATGAAACAAGAGTAGTTTTACAAGTAAGAGATTCTAATGAAGAAAGTGGAAATAAGAAAAGAATTGTTTCATAATCATAAGAGTACCAGTCAGGAATAGCTGTATCCATATATTTGTTTTGTCCCTGAATAATGAATTCAGACCTGAACTATTGATGTTTATGATGAGTGATTATTTTCATAAAGCTCAAAGATTTATTGTTACTGACATTTTCGACGAAGGAATACATTTCTAGAACTTTCCTCCTAAGGCAGCATTATACTTGTGGCCTTCTCTATGACCTTAATCATAGGATATGCATAACCAAGCTCACTATTATTTAACATGACCTCCTAAAAAATTAAATATTAATTCAAATTTCGACGTGGAAAGTTCCGAAAGACTTAAATATTACCTTGACAGCCTCATCAGCAGCCTTGCAAGCCACTATAGTCGCCTCAATATCACCAGTATGTCCTACCATATCTCCATTAGGTAGATTTACACGAATCTACAAAAATTCAATTTAAAAACACTCATCAAATATTTTAAAAAGTTGAGAAACATAAAGATAAAATGTCAAAATTTTAGGTTTGGTTTGAAAAATCTTGAGCAATGATGAATGACTTTTGGCTTAACATCCAAATATTTACCTGATCGAACTTGCCACTGAGGATAGCATCCCTTGCCTTTTCAGCAATTTCCATGGCTTTCATCTTCGGTTTGACATTGAATGTGATTCCACTATCACTGGGGACTTCAACATATTCTTCCAATGCTGGGTTAAAGTAGCCAGATCGATTTCCATTCCAAAAGAAGGTGACATGACCAAATTTAACTGTCTCACTGCAGAATAAAAATAAAAGATACCTTTAAATGTGCATATACCATATAAATTATGTATACAGGTGAGAGTGTATTTGTGTGTTTGTATCGTGAATAGATTTTTGAACACCAACGTCTCAAAATTCTCCTACACCTAAAGCTGACATTTTACGGTAGAGGAAAAGAGGATAAAACTGAATGAAGTAAATCAGGTTCAGAGATCCTTATCCGATTTTCTATGTTCCTATATTTATTTCTTCTATATTCTGTAACTATTATCTACTATGATAAATACTATAGATACAATGTATCTTCTTAGCACATTTATGCACATATGGTACAGTTATGTATTATAGATACAATAGTTTTCCCCTTATGGCACATTTATGCATGCATATGGTACGATTATGTGTATATGATGAATAAAGATTGACATACATTGATTTGCCCTTTAGGACATGCAAGAATGCATATAAGCAGGATTGCATTTAATGGTTGATGTGGACAGAAATGGAACTCAAAACTCAGATCAGCCCCTAATGTTGATCTGACATTTCTAAGAAGTCTTTAACCTAATATTTAACCCATTAAGCCCTTATAGATATTATCTCCTGTCTATTGAGTCCCCCTGTGGTTCGCCGTCTTAAACATAGCAAAAAACGCTATTCTGTCGAGACTATATCTGTCAGAAAACCACCATGGAGAGTCAATAGACTGGAAATAATAGCTATTATGGCATAATTCGTTAAAATATTAGGTTAACAGCTTTCTGAAAATGTCAGGTAGATGTTAGGGATTGATCTGACTTCAAGCTCAGAGAAATGTGAAAGCATGATAAAATCTCAAGCCTAAAACAAACCAAAGAAAGTAAACTAGAACGTTCAATAACAATTGTATTGACAAGTATACAGAATTTGACAATGTTTTAATGATGACTAAAAGACTACCATTAGTGCATCCATAAGCTTTAAAAACCTCAAGGTGATTAGAGTATCTGTTCATAAAGTCAGCAAGATAAAAAGGTAAAATTCAAGCAAAGCCAGAGACTTGAAGAAATAACATCTTTTATAGACAAAATACCTGCAAGCAAAAGTACGGATGCCATTATGCACCAAATATTCACCAGATGTCCTCTCTATCTCTGGAGGAGAAACAAGATAATGGTTTGGAAGCTTCAATTCACCATCATATTGAAGCATTCCAGCATACCGAATTTTTGGAAACCTAACACGATCAAATTTATCGAAATCTTGATATTCTAGCGCTTTAGCGAGCATAACCATTCGATCTGCTCTGAAGTTGAATGTCACAACAGCATCACCATCTACTATAGGCCCAACTGGCTTGCCACTCTCATCAACTATAACAAAAGGGGGCAAATACTGATCATTGGATTTTGGTTCTGCCCTTAGTTTTTTGACAGCTTCGATCGCACAACGAAAGTTATATGGTGCTTCACCGAGCACTTGGGCATCCCAGCCACGCTTAACTACCTCCCAGTCATTCTGTGAAACACATAAATGAAAACAAATTCATGGCAAGCAATAAGCAGACTTTCATTTTCAGTCATAGTTAATGGGCAGTTGGACGCTATCAAATGTACATGGATACTGAGATGTCTTGTAAGTATTTTGGTTGTTGCAAGAAATAGAAATAGAAAAAATCGTAAAGCACCACAGTCATGCAGAGAAAAGAACAAAAGACAGGTTAATTGTGGAGAGCACCCTGTTGTTCTATTGTCGCAGATTGAAACCCCGACTGAAACTTTTTGACTCTTTTACTCATAGAGAGAGAAAATAGTTTTTTTGACAAATACACCTCCCGAGGGTAAATTAATCAAGAAATCCACTCAGGGTGTCTATCCACAATTGGGTGATAATAAGGGGGTCTATCCATAACAGTAGAATTACAGGGGGTCTATCCACAATTGGTCAATAGTACAGGGGGTCTATCTGCAATTAACCCAAAAAAGGAATAAAGGATTCAACATAATATTTGAATGTTGATTGGGGAAGAACATTGCAAGAGCACTGTTGAACAGAAGTGAACATAAGCATGCTTTAAAGCCATTTAAGATTTAGGAGCAGCATTTGAGGCATATACATATCGAAAATTTCCCAAGTTAGGAGATTATTATTCTATATATCTAAATAATACCCAATTATGATGTGTTACTCCAAAAAGTCATGATGTATGCCACAATGCCTAATTTTTAACAACAACAATTAAATAACACTTCTAATTATACCTCATAACGGTCCATAGTAACATACATGCGACCTCCACCAGATGCTATCTTTGCATCAGTACCTTTCTCCCTTAATTTTGTGAGGTCATTCTCAAGTGTTTCAATAAATTTTACACTAGAGCCATCCAAAACATCTCGACCATCGGTAAGGATGTGGACGCAAATTCTTTTGGCGCCTCTCTCACTTGCTCCTTTCAATAGCAACTGCAAGAAAATGAGTTATTGATTCCTCGAAAATATTTATCTTAGAAGTATACAACAAGAACAGAAGTCTTATCATCTAACCTGAAGCTGATCAAGCCGTGAATGGACACCACCATCACTCAACAATCCGATGAGGTGCAAAGTATTTGAATTGAAGCTCTCTTTGATGTATTTAAAGCCTTCTCCTTCAAATATTTTTCCAGAGGCAAGTGCAAGATCGACTAGCTTGGCACTGCAATTGTCACAAGAAGGTAAAAAAAAAATTAGTAATGTTGGAAAAAGCTAGAATAAACTGAAAGTGAACTGAGAGATCTATCCACCAATTTTTTATCATTTGATTTTGCTTTGAGATTTGTGCTCGTGTCAGATACACGTCAATGCACGCATCTCAAAGATTGCTTGATGTATATCGCATACTAACACGAATCTCAAAGCAAATCCAGTGGATAAAAGAGTTGGTGACATATCCCTGGGTCCACATAAGTTTACTTTAGCTTTACAGTAATGTCTTTAAAATGTTGGACTCGAGTAAGAAGCTAACCCTTGTGCAAAAATTCTTCCCGCGCCTAATGCATTGTGACCAACTTCACTATTACCCATGTCATCCTCAGTTGGAAGACCTACTGCTGTTCCATGAGCCCTAACTAATCTCCATCTATCTGGAGCACCCTGAAAACAAGTAGAATATAAAATAATTTTCAGAGATATTAAGATTATATTGTGACACAATACTTACAATTTTTGAACAGGAATAAAAAATTCATATGAGATTCAAACAAATTCTTAGGACAATTAGGAATTATAATTTGGTTTAACATAATCAAAATTCATATGAGATGTAAACAAATTCTTAGGACAAGAAGCTGGATTCTTTTTGTCATAACTATAGGGGAATATCAAGATAAAAGTTATCATCTGTGCATATCATATTTCTGATAAACGTTCGAAAAGTTTCCAACCTACATAGTCACCATAAGATCCAAGGGATATCAACTAAGGAGAGAAAATTCAAAAAGTACATGGATATTTTCTCAACTGCGAGAGCTACATGACATTTTTATTCAAACAAAAATAGCATCGTGCAACTTAAAACTAAAACTAAATGATCTGTATCTTTGATATTATAATAAGCTCTTATTCATAATTTCTTGCAAATTTTAGCATAAAACAAGGGGCAAATTGTCATTAAAGACATAATGTTTCTGATTTTTTTCACTTAAAATGACCCCCACCTGTAAAACATATCAAATAAATGTCCTAAAGTTTGCAAATGTTGCAAATAAATGCCCAAAAGTTCAGAACGTTAATAATCTGCTAAAATATTCTGGGATTATCCCATGTGACTTGTCATGTCACAATACAGGGCCATTGATTACCTTGATATGACATTAATTTACACACCACTCTCCTTATAATATATTCTGCCTGAAAATTAAAGGGGGGTATGTTTTCCTTAAAGCCTAAAATATTAAAGGCGTCATATTTTTAAACTAAGAATACTTTACAGCACTTGTTTGGAACATTTTACAAGTGGTGTCATTTAAGTTGAAAAAAAACAGAAACAATAGGTCATCAAGTGCGATTTACCCTAAAACACGAGTCACATTTACGTGAACAAATTCATCTAAATTCCTTTTGTTGGCGATATTATAATTTTGAGGATCTCTGAAACCTATCTACAGAGAGTTAAAGGCAAGTTTCAATCATGCTAAAGCTACGCGCTAGCATTGCATAATGTAAAATCTTGCGTGTACAAATAATTAAAGAAAAATCTAAGTAGCTACGTATAAATTTACCGATTGAAAAGTGCAGGCCCGCCATGATTGAAACCTTACCTTCGACTATATTTACACTAGGTTTTATGCACATCAAACGTCATGGATTTACCAATCTTATATTAATCTTCTTTAATAAGGAAACTATAACTAGTCCATGCAAAATTAAGGATTTTAGCTTGTCCAAATATATATGCCACCGCAATAATTTTCCGCAATTAACACTATAAATGCAGGGGAAAATCAGTTGGAACAAATGCGTCGTTATACCTTCTTGAGGGAATCCATGGTCGGCGTCTCGGCAACATGAATGCAGTTATATTTATCAGGATTGGCCTCACCCCACCCATCAAGAACAACCACAGCCACAGCCTTCCCTTTTGGAATTTTTGGGTGCTCCTTCAATTTCCACGAGAATCCGGAGCTGCTCATCTCTTCAAAATCACCCTATAATGAAACGAAGATCGGCAACGCAAGATAGCTGGAAGAAATCTAACGCATTTGTTCGCAGTAATTGGTGGGTTAGGAACAAATAACTGTGAGAATTTTTGATGAGCGAGATCAGAGATTTTGTTTGGGTGTTTTGGGTGGTGAATTTTATAGGTTCCCCCGAAACGCGGAGTCTGGTTGACCGAGATCCGATCTGGACTTAATTGGATGGGATTCGGGTGCATCTTAGACCCGGATCCAGCCCGTTTGCTATTGGGCTGGGCTTCAGTTTTTCACAGATCACGGACTAAGAAAAATAGATTCACAGAAAACAGCACGGCGAAGGACCTTTTGCTCTGCTTTGTTTCGCTTACCTTTTCCCAATCTTCTCATTTCTTTCTCCTCACTGTATCCGACAAATATAAAAAAAAAAAAACTTTGTTCATTTAAGTTTATATCCTGAATTTTTCAGAAATCGCAATAGGATGAATCATAATGTCAAGATTTTTTTCTAAATTTGAAGTTTGTATTGGAAAAATTTACAAAATAGACCGTTTTTGCTAATTATTTAGCAAAATAGACCGTTTTTTGCTAAATAATTAGCAAAATATACCTCTTTTGAAGAAAAAAAAAGAGGTTTTTTTAAAAGAGGTCTATTTTGCTAATTATTTAGCAAAACAGTCTATTTTGCTAAATAATTAGCAAAAACGGACTATTTTACAAATTTTCCCTTAGAGCTCCGGTCTATATTTGTATCCGTGGTTTTTTTTTTTTTTTTACTTTGAGCCAATTATCATGCGTGATTATTAAAATGTATATAGAAATGACAAACATGGCATCTAATTTAATCCATGTGTACGAGGACCAATCATGCATCGTTCAATAGGATAGATTCCGTTCACATATATAAACCTCTTGGCTGAGAACTAGAGCCCTTCGTCAGCGAGACAAAGATTATATATGTAGTCAAGCCTGTGATCTGCGCCACACGAGCAAAGTTTTTAGTAGTTAAAAAGTTGGCACTTGTTTGTAGGCATTTTGAGACATGATAGCGACTTAAAAAGCAAAAAAATGAAATAGTTTATGTCAAAAAGGATGTACTAACCTTTTTATTTTTTCTTCTTTGAAGAATGAGGATCCCCTCGCATTCTTGAGGGGGGGAAAAAGGAAGCAATGCAAAAAAGTTTTTACTTGGTTTTTCTACAAGTTTTTGGTTGAGTGGAGGCACGTACGAAAGACTTACAGATCGCATGACTTGAGAATAAAGCAGCCATTGCTGCTGCTGTGCTGAGAAATTTTGCTTGTTAAAGTTGGGAGCATGCGATGGGTAATAATTACTAGGGGTCTATGCGGACTTGATGAAGCCCCTGAAGTGTGATAAGAGTTAGCGAAAAGTTTAATTACTTCCGCTGTAATTAATACTTGGAGTGCTGCACTAACTAGTTAAATAGTTTAATTAGCTTAATTCAAATGCCGGTGGCTTACCTTTTCGGAAAGTAAGCAAATGGCAACCATATATATGTGAAAGGAGGTAATTCCCAATAACAACCCACCCACCCACCCAAAAAAAAAAACCCAAAATAAAACAAAATAAATAAATAAACCTCTTCGGGACCTCTGCGTTGTAATTGACAAATGAGTTCACAACTTCTCAAAACAATCTGCATGCGAGGGAATTGTCTGAGCCACACATCTGATTGGGTAAAATTTGTTGTGCGCAGTGAAAATTTCGGCAGCACCGTACCTCGGCGCAACAAGATAGTAAGATCACAATAAGAATTCCCGTTTCACAAAGAAAACATGAACCAAAAGTAAAATATCTCAACAAAGTGGGATATCAGCTCTTCCTCTCATCTATCAGTTCTAGGACTGACCTGTCGATGGAACCTAAATAAGCTATTACAAATCACACAAATAGCGAGACAACCAATTTTACGTGGTTCGGTAAATTGCCTACGTCCACGGGACAAGGAGGGGGGAGATATACTATTAGAGGGAGAGAATACAACTAGGGTTTACAATCTCACAACCTAAACCCTCAAACAAACTCTCAAATCCCTCACAATCTCTCTCTATAAAAGGATGCACAAAACCCTAAAAACAACTGCTCAAAATCGCCTTTTTTCTTCACAAAAGAGCGGCTGTTTTTCTCCAAGGACGAAGCCACACGCTGACTTTTCCTCTGCCTTGTACAACAAAATTTTCATATCATACCCCCATGTATAGCTCAAACGGGATGTGCACTCTTGACAAACAACTAGAACATATTTGAAAGAGAAAAGCAAAAAAAACCCCACTGGTTTGATCTTTTGTCACTCACGGACAATGCACCCCTCTTAATTTGCCATTTGAACCATGAAATTATTCAGCCATCAAACTAACTTCCAAAATTATACTTATCGACATACATTAGATTTGTAAAATCCAATTGAACTCCATCCTGCTACGGACCTCGTTTTTTTTTTCAATAAGAAACCGAGTTTTTTTTAATGCGAACAAAGGAATCTTGCTTTCTTTGCTAATCAACGTACTGTCTATATTGGGTGAGCTTGATGCTAACAAGTCATTCTCAGTGAGCCATTGCCCTCCATCATCCTCAACCCCACAAGCTTTATTTCTTCTCAACCTCCATTTTCCAAATATTCCTTTAATTTAATATTGAAACGAGGTCCATTCGTATTTCAACACGTAGCACCGGCCTTGTGCTCCATCCAATGATAAGGCAACACGTACGTAATATGGTGCCATTTATTATTATTTTTAACTTCTATATTATGTCTTGTTCTTCTCTTCCAAAAGTAGGAATCTGATTATTTTAAATAAAAAAAAGCCAATTTTCAACTATATATGCGTTATATGATAAATTAGCTAGAGCCTTGATCAGATACCTAATATGTACATTGAACTTCAGTTTCATATTGTCAAATTCATATATATTTGTTTTTTATCAAATTTCATTTATATATCTCTTGGTGGGTGTCATTGCTATTTATTTATATGTGTGTTTTGATGTGTAGTGATTTTTTTCCAATTTAAATCATTGATATTTGTGATTGTTGCTTACATATCAAATGTGAAATTTGTCTGGATTGGCCCACTAGCTGTTCTGGAAAAAAAAAATGTACGTACACGCTGATCAGTGAGATTAACGTATATAGATAGTTAATGTTATTAATTTCAAATACATTAAATTTAGTTGCATGTTGTCATATAATTATATTTCCTCTTCTTCAACCATGCATGGTTTTAAAATGAATAGTACTTGCCATTAGTGATTTATAGACCTATATAGTCTCTCCCTTATGTACGGAACCTAAAGGTCCAAAACAGAAACTTCCTATGTTTGTTTTCATGAGAGAGAGAGAGAGAGAGAGAGAGAGAGAGAGAGAGAGTATGTCTTTGATTGACAGCATGTCATATACTAATAGGGTATTCTACTGAAATTTCAATAGGTACAATCTTAGATCCTATAATTTTCTCCTCATATATAGATGGCATGCTATTAATATCTTATAAGATTTTACTGCATGTGAAATATATAGAGATAAAAGTGTGAGTACTTGAACTTAACATGTTTAGTTTGTAAACGAGACATTTGAGCTTCCAATTCAATTAGATCCCCACCAAGACCTAGAAGAAATGATGCTGAGATGTTGTGTTGTCAAGTCACATATATATATATGCTTATACATCATAACTTGGAGATAATTTAATCCTCATTGGAGATGAAGTAGTTGTTGGACAAAAGATAAATATAAGAAGGGATACTACTCATTAGATTAATTAGCTCTTATTGGCTCCTAACACCAACAAGTGTCTAGGACAAAGTCTAATCCTCAATGTAACCTAATGATTAATCAAGCATTAGTATGGAAGAATCAATAACATTCATAATATTTAAACCCATCTTCTTCAACGGTATATATTTTTAATGCAGAAATTTGTTTAATTAGGTCTACCAATGTGCATGTAGCTTTCCTTGGACCATGCTTTGCTTGTGATATGTTTATCAATTGGGAAGAAAGGGACAAATTTATATATAATCGGAATGGAACATGGTTTTCCAAGCACTTAATCTATATATTAATAACGGTTTTTGTCCTAAGTGTGAAGTGCCCACAATTTTTATATTAATTAATAAATTGGTCAAGAAATAAGAAATAAGTGTTAGATAGTCTAACACTCAAGCAAAATATTTCTCGACATACAAGTGATACAACATGCTTCAAAATAAGTTATTTTTTAAGAAATCAGTAAGATATCTAGCTTATGTTTTTATGACTAGTAAGTAGATTGAAAATTTTGTATATGTATGGGAAAGGAACAAGGAGGCTTGGGTATCTTTTCAGCACATATCTGGAATTTAGCAACTGCGTTAAGGAATATATGGTTCATACATACAAATAAGGAATCATTGTGGATTAAATGGATACATGGAAACTATCTCAAAAATTCTGATATATGGCAGGTTGAAATTGTGGATTAAATGGATACATGGAAACTATCTCAAAAATTCTGATATATGGCAGGTTGAAGCAAGGTCTGGTGACTCTTGGATGTGGAGAAAATTGATTCAAGCAAGAGATAAGGCTCTGACAGTTTTTGGAGGATTGGATAGGTTACAGAATCTCATCAAATCCTGTTACAAGGGATCAAAGCTCAAGCTTTCAGCCTTATATGTTGTTATTTCCCCTGTGTCTGATACGGTTCCTTGGTGCAAAACTATATGGGGGAACTTAAATTTTCCTAAGCACTCATTTATCAGTTGGCTGGCTGCACAGAACAGGCTACTAACTCGGGATAGGCTTTTGAAAAGAGGGATTATAAATGAAAATTGATGCTGCTTATGTGAAGGAAATGTGCAGGAGTCGAGGGATCACTTATTTTTTGAATGCACTTTCTCTTGTTGCATTTGGAATCATATTATGGACTGGACTAATTTCAAAAGGAAAACATCCAATTGGGATCGGTTGATAAATTGGTTCATTAGGTTGAGAGGTAAAGGTCTCAAGCTCAAGATCAAGAGATTAGCTTTGACGGCTACTATATATCACATTTGGAGAGAGAGAGGAATGCAAGGATCTTTACACAGCAGAAAAAGGACACTGTGCAGCTGATTAAAGCCATTAAAATTGATATTGCTACCATCCAAATAAACAGTCCTTATTCTTCTAT